ATTTGAGAACTCATCAAGAGCAGTTCTTCGGGTCGCTAGGGATACATTTCCAAGTACTTGACATGCCTCCGCATGATCTTGGAGCTCCAGCCTATAGAAAGTACGATATTGAGGCATGGATGCCTGGACGGAATTTGTACGGTAAGCATTTTTCGCAATTAAATCCGATTTTAGGAGTTGCCGTAATTAATTATTCTTCTTTCGTCTCGTCATATTTTTCAATCATCGTTTTCCAACTTCTAATTAAAAACACGCTCCTAAGAACATTAATACAAATGATATTGTTATTCTTATCGATAGTAGACCAAAAGTAGGTGAAATTGTTTTTGTATCAAGTAGGTTTCCTCAGTTATTTCTTTAATAATAATGTGTAAATGTAACTTATTTTTAAACATAAAGTAAAATGTAAATGCAATAGCCCCTCGTAGAAATACTCTATTTGGCTCAAATAAACTTTGTCAAATAAAAGTCACAGATTTGTCTGAAAATAGAAGTCAAAGTCTCATTTAATATAGTTATTTACTCCGCTACCCGGGTTTCCCCCGTAGGCATCAGCAGACATTCTCTGTATAAAATAATAACATTGATCATTCAACATAACACTGAAGCATATTATGCCAAAAATAAAATATTCTTACAATACAATACTACATACAATACAATATTGCATAGACACGACACGAGGACAAGCACTGATAAAATATGTCAAAATAAGTCGAATCTAGTATCTATTGGTTTTAGCAGTTTCTTAATGTTTTTGAATTTATACAGGGTGTCCCACCGGAAACCGCCGCGATCGATATCTGAAAAACTATAATTACGAAACTGTGGCATCTTGAAAATATTTTAGATGGCTTGCCTCCAATGACTTCGGCACACTGTCCAATTGTCAAATATCTCCTAATTATAGTTTTTTTAGATATCGATCGTGGCGGAATGTGTTCAATGTTTAGATAGTATTATTCGGTAGTATTACTTTACCGAGCAGGTAAAACTCGGATTTTCTTTTGGTTTATGAGTTTCCAACTTTTCCAGCAAGCCACGTTTTTTTCTTTTGGGGCACTATGTAAGATGTTAATTGTTTCTGGTCTTGGAAAAGACCGACGAAAATCTAATAAATGGGTAGCCAAAACTGATTTGGTAAAACTGACGTCATGAGAAGTTTTATGCGTATTCAAACAATTAACATATTCATACACTAGTAGGATTTTTCTCCCCGACTGACCAACAGAAACCGAAGAACGCATGCAACACATAGTTAAATATTATATTAAAATGCGATTTCGATAGGTACATCAAAATTTAAAAAATTATAAATTTGGTGTCAGCGTTCGGAAAGCTCCGCGCTTAAGCTCTACATACAGCAAATTAGTATAAATCATACTTTAGAAGGCTTATACTTAGAAGGCTGTCTCGATTGGCAATCGTCTGTTGTATTAGTCCATGTACGGAAAGATCATTTAATGTTGTTTGAAATTATATATGATTCAAATGGTATAGTATCCCTTCTATATTAAAGGCGTAACATTTCAGGAAAAAATGAAAATGTTTGCAAAAGTGCGACTATTCTGAAACGTGGTAATGGTTGGATATTAAAGCTCGTTCACAAGGTGACATTAATGTCGTCCACACAAGTTTCATTGTCGTCTGAACAGTTGAAGGTCTTACAGTGTCGCGACATTAGTGTCACACATATCAAAATGGTTTGGTATACGACATCGTGATTGACACTGGCAACTGTCACGGCACCAGTGGCGGATCCAGCTTTCGAGTCAGAGGGGGGTCAAGTAGTAGAAATTCAATCTTTTGTTGTCTATGAAATTAGAAAAATAATCGTTAGTCGTTATAAACCCCGCACAAGGGGGGTCATAATCCCCATGACTCCCCCCTAGATCCGCCCTGGTACGGCATTAGATGTCACGACATTCAGCCCTGCGCTGTATCATAAATGCTATTTTTAACGGTCACACGTTATGGCAACTTAACAGTCCAGGATAACATTTTCGATAACGCAGCAACACAACCGACGTGTGCTCTATCTCCGAGTTAACGTATGCGCCGTATGCGTTTGCGACCCAGTTATCCATCAAACGTTAAAAAGGAAAAAAATATTGGATACATAAAGTGAGATGCCCTTATACGAATAGTCTATTAGTTAGAGAGAGAGAGTTAACATCAAACCATCGAAGGTTCTAAATCATATGCACCACCACCACATGTGCACGTTTTGACGATTTGGGTTGCCTACTACCCTACATGTCTTTGTTTATGATTTGCATTCGCTTTTAATTTCGTTTGTTATTGTTCTTGACCTATCTTCTCAAACACTTTCAATGGAGTATGTACAGAAGAAAAAAACAACCCGCAAACAATTTTAAAATTTAGTAGAGTTTGTGGACAAAAATAAAGTTTATTTTCAAGACCATTCACTAATTGTTCTAATAAAGCTAACCTTATGAAACCACCAAAAGACATATTTTTCTTTTAAATTAAAAACAAATTATAGCTAAAAGACAAAACTACGCTCTGATTAAACACAATTGATTTATTTATTCCCCGAAGTTAACTTCGAGGGATGCACGTTAAGTTCGA